TTCGAATTACCATGCTCTTGGGGGATCTGTTCATTGAGGCGGCTCCATTCTTGGTTCCTGAAGCTCCAGCCTTCCCTGGAGGGACATGAGTCCGCTTCTTAATACGCCTTTTCGCCATATTACAGAAAAATCGTCGGCGATCAAAAGGTACAACAAGGTTATCGAACAGATCTGAACTTTTCGTCCTTCAGCAAGCGCAGTCCAAGGTTCTTCATAACGGGCTTGCACTTTTTTTTTTTTCCAATTGATCTTGATATCGGATCATTGATTTGACGGACTCCGAAACTCTAAAAAAACATTTCGGAAACCTTATTTTTTTATCTGATAGAAAATTGAACATGGAGCGTAAATATTTAAATATTTCAATTTATCTGTCAATACCCCAGAGACAATTGCAAAGATGTCGGCTGTAAAGAATATCAAACGGCGAAAGCTGTCCCATACGTCCTCCAAGCCAGTCTCGGATGATGTCTCTTCGGGTTCGGAGCGCGGGCAGGAAACTCCAGAAGAGAGCGGCGAGGGACCGACAGACACAAAAGCACCCAAGACGTTCAAGGACCTGGGGATAATCGACTCCTTATGTGACGCTTGTACCTCTCTAGGGTATAAAACCCCAACTCCGATTCAAGCTGAATCTATACCCCTGGCGCTACAAGGGAGAGATTTGGTGGGGCTGGCAGAGACAGGAAGTGGAAAGACTGCGGCTTTCGCATTGCCAATTCTTCAAGGTAAGCAAACTTCATTGCGGAATTGGTCGGTATAATTAAGCCTGAAATCTGGCTAACAGAGCACTCTTTTACCGTTGATAGCCCTGATGGAAAAACCACAGCCATACTTTGGACTTGTTCTTGCACCCACACGAGAATTAGCCGTACAAATCACAGAGGCGTTCGAAGCCTTGGGGTCGCTTATTTCAGTTCGGTGTGCCGTCATAGTAGGAGGAATGGACATGATATCTCAATCGATCTCTCTTGGGAAAAAGCCACACATTATCGTTGCGACACCCGGAAGACTCCTTGACCACCTGGAGAATACTAAAGGATTCTCGCTGCGCAATTTGAAATACCTAGTAATGGATGAGGCGGACCGGCTCCTCGACTTGGATTTCGGTCCTGTGCTGGATAAGATATTAAAGGTACTTCCGCGCGAACGCCGAACATATCTGTTCTCCGCAACCCTAAGCTCCAAAGTCGAATCTCTGCAGCGCGCCTCACTTTCAAATCCTCTACGAGTTTCCATCTCGTCCAACAAGTATCAAACTGTCTCAACTCTTCTTCAGTCATACATTTTTATCCCTCACAAGTACAAGGACATCTACCTTGTGCACATACTAAACGAATTCCCTGGACAAACTACCATAATCTTCACCCGCACCGTCAACGAAACCCAACGTCTTTCCATTCTCCTGCGCGCACTGGGATTCGGTGCAATCCCTCTCCACGGCCAACTATCCCAGTCAGCTCGTCTTGGGGCCCTCGGCAAATTCAGGTCCGGAAGCCGAGATATCCTGGTTGCTACTGATGTTGCAGCACGAGGTCTTGATATCCCGGCCGTCGATCTAGTGTTGAACTTTGATCTTCCTTCTGACAGCAAGACATATATCCATCGTGTTGGGCGCACTGCCCGAGCGGGCAAGAGTGGACGAGCAATCAGTGTTGTCACACAATACGAGGTTGAGATATGGCAGCGAATTGAGGCTGCATTGGGCAAGCAACTGCCGGAGCACAAGACGGAGAAAGAGGAAGTGATGGTGCTGAGTGATAGGGTAGGGGATGCCCAGCGACTGGCAGTTACTGAGATGAAAGATCTCCATGAAAAACGAGGGTCGAAGGGCGCCACACTTCGGGGGCGCAGGAAGGGGGATTCCAAGAGGGGAAGAGACGATATGGATCGGGAGGAGAGATGATCAACGAGGTAAATTTCCTCTTTTAATGCTACCATTTTTACATTTGCATACTCAAGTCATAGTTAGCGATCTTATGGGGTTGTGTAATGTAATCCGGAAACGAATATAGTATGTGTATGAAGTCATAGCAGCTCTTTTGACGCAAATCTGTATCGATAGAAATATTTATCTAGAAAGAGAAAAAGGAAAGGATAGGGATACCTAATCAGATTTTGTCCTGCAAAGAATAGCGAAAAGCAGAGACTGGTTTAGAAGCTTTTTCTCACTGCTGGATAAGAGCCAATCCTCATGTCCGTCAAGCCATGTTGGCAAACAAGTTGAGACAGGAGGCCAGGTTGCCGAAAAGCCGAACGCTGTTCCAGCAACGAGCATCACGATGACAAAAACTAGAGAGATTTATTTTTCTCGCCTCGTCAAAAGCTCAGCAAAGCCGTATCAATATCGTATGATTTTATATTATCCTTTTTTTTGGCGTAAGAGAGGAAAACATCCCGTGAAATAAAGTCGTGATTACAAACCATAATTGCCCTTCTTTTGAACAATCTTAAAAGTAGAGAATTACTGCCCAGCAGCAGCTTTGCCAGCTTCCAGGACAACAGCAGCAATCCTGTTAGCGAGATCATCAGTCTCTGACCGGGTGGCTGCTTCAGCATAAACGCGAACTGCGTCCTCCGTTCCACTGGCACGAGCGAAGCTTCTACCCTTGTTGTAACGAGATTGGAGGTCATCAATACGCTGCTGCAGACCGGCAGGGGATTGAAGTTTCCGTTCAGCATCGTAGGTCTTGAAGATAGAGCGGTCTGGGACTTCGATCCTGACCAATTTGTTGGGTAGATCAGTGTATGTTGCAACCCATTCTTTCAGGGTCCAACCCTTGTGGGCCAAGATGACCTCGACCAAAAGCATATCAGATAGAGCATCTCCAACTGCCTGGTTAATGAGATCTGTCATAGCAACAAGGCTCTCTAAAGCGTACTTCTGGGCTGGTGACTGAGGTTCGGCTGTCTTAATCGTCTTGAGAGCGTTTTCAGAGAAAGTAATGGTTCCGTGGCCATTGGCCTCGAAGTAGACGCCAACATCGAATCTCATGGCAGCGTGATGGAGATGCTTGACACCAGTGGGCGTGCAGACAACAGGGAGCTTGAGGACCTTTTCAATGTATTCGGTACTAGAGCCATTTGCATAGGCAGTCTGGACCACCCCAATTTTGATCTTGTTGGAAAGTCCGGCGTTCTTTGCGAGCTCGCCAATGAAAGAAGCAGCAAGAGTGGCAATGCGGTCACCGTCAAGGAGTCGGAAGACACCACTGGCATCCATGTAGTAGTACACTAATCGGTCAGCATCACCGTCTAGGGAGGCACATCGGTCTTGTGCCACGGCCTTGGACGAAGGTGGAGCGCGTTGCTTCGTTTTCACGTAGTCGGCTCCGCACTAGTTTTATCTGTGTTAACGATTGCTTTTTACCCATTATGTGTAAAAGGGGCTATATCGTGAATACCTCGAAATTCAGTCTGTCAGGGTTGATAACGTCATCGTTGATAACAGTGATATCCAATCCACCATCCTTAGCAGAGGGCAAGAACTTGACGAGTTCAGCAAGCTTCGGGCCACCAACACCATTGGCGCAGTCAACAGTAACTGAGCCAGTAGTGGTGCGTCCGTTCATGACCTTCTTGAATGCTTCGCTAAGCTTCTCGTAGTAGCCTTTCTCAGTAGGCTTCCCGTATTCATAGGGAGTTCCTAGGGTGTTCTTGCAGCGAACGATGTAGTGTAGCTGAGGAGTAGTCAAGTACTTGAAATCAGTGGCCTCAACCTCTGAGGCAGCCATGGCCGCACTGAGGGCAGTAGCAAGTCTAGCTCCAGAAGCTCGAGTGTCCCTGGCGAAGACAACACGGGCAGGGTTGTCCATTTTTATCTCTATCTCATCGACAAGTTTCGCGTATTCCTCTCCGAGAGTCTCGAGAGGAGCGTTTGCCAATCTAGTAGCAAAGACCTCCCATTCGGCCTGATAAAAACGGAGGCGATAAGTCAATAGTTCCCCCCCGTCTGAGTTTCGGGTATTATCCTACCTCCAACATCTCGCCCTGCGATAAACATCTTACGTTAGCTCTCGATGCTGGCCGCAGCACATGGCCGAACTACACGTACCATCGGGTCAACCAACTTAACCCCATTGTCCTCAGCCGGGTTATGGCTGGCTGTAATCATAACACCAATATACTGTCCGTTGAGCTTCCTCGAGCGTAGGCCGGCCAACAGTCCCATCGCAAACACAACGGTATTGAGAAGCTCTCTAATGACAACCATCCGTTAGACTCCAGGGTGTATGTACGGCGTAGGATAGTGTACTCTCTGCCCCTTACGATTTCATACGGAACTACATTGAGAACAGAACAGCTTGAATTAGCCCAAAGAAACACCCTTCTTCCGCGGCCTTTTTTTTATACGCGTTACATGGACAAGGGACCTGCGAAACTTACTCCAGCGGTTCCATACTCAAAGATCTTCCCTTCAGGTTTAGTGTAGGCCGAGGCGGCCTTGTTGATGGCCTGCTGGAGCTCTGCGGAAGCCATTGATGGTGTCGCTGTCTGTCTTCTGCAGCAAGTCGAGTGAGCGAGTGAGGGTGGTTGTCTGTTTGTCGATGCAAGCTCGCTTCGTCGTCTATTTATCTCTCGGCGGGGGGAAAATGCGAGAAAGACAGCGAGGGGGAAGACGAGGAAAATCAGCTGAGCGTGGGGTGTGTTTGCACTGTTTGCACCGCTCGCTGCAGTAGCGCAAAAGCTTCACATGTTGCAGGTTGAGCTGCAATTGGAGACAGCAAAGTACGGGGATGCATGCAGAGAGCGAGGCAGGGTCTATGCTGGTGGCTTACTGGTGGCTGGGGACAGCTCAGCGTCGAGGACGGGGCCTTCGTCAAGCTGACTGACTCTAAGTATGTCTCAGAAGTTTGCCAGAGGGAGATGGGGAAAGTTGCATAAGGTAGCTAGCTGTTAGGTAGGTGGTCTATTAGAGTAGATATGTACGGAGTACTGATATATCCCATTGACAGATCTATATAAACGGTTTCTAAGCACGCAAGCGCTGCTCGGTTATGTCAAACTCTGCGTCCCGGATAAGGAATCTGTACGGGAAAGGCCACGGTAGTCAGTAAAAAGGGGAGCAAGCGAGGGACAAGAAGGCAGGGGGGAAGGGAAAGGAAAGATAGGAGAAGAGACGGCACAGGGAGAACGTACGCATACCACCAGATGGTGGGGATAACTGTGCCTAAATGCCATAAGCTGTGGGCATCGATTAGGCCACCAATCGGAGGGAAGTCCAGGAGCTCAAGGCTCATGGCCAAAATCACCCATCCAACGATCATACTTGGCCACGCCGTCCAAGACTTCATGTATCGTTTATATTGTTTGACGCTAAAGATAGTCCACATCAGATCCTGGATGATTCCCACCGCGACGTTGGCAGCCATATTGTACGTGTAATCCCAGGACCAGAAGGTCAGGTACGAGACGTGCATAGTAAACAGTGTCATGCAGAACAGCGTCCATCCTCGTAAAAGCGATGGCTTGTAGTGCGGCCGGAGCTTGTCCAGGCGAAATATCCTTACAACAGCCAGATATAAACCATATAGCACGCTAGCCCCAGCTGCAAAGTAGTCAAGTTTCTCTGTTAGGGCGAAGTCTCTCGTGTGGAATATCATGCTGAACGTCCAGCTGGCCAGTCCAAAGTAGCCAAACCAGAGGTAGTACTTCCGTAGCGAGTAAGACTGAGGAATGCGTTCCTTCACCTGTTGTATTCCGCGGTAGTGAGCGAGGTAGTTGAAAAGGGAGAACAGGGTCGAGAAAAGCTCCTGGATGCCCATGACTCGGTGAAAGGGCCATTTTCCGTGATATTGGACGACAGGTTGAAGCATTGGAGGGTCTCTGGTCAGCCGCTGGTTGGTTACGACATGTTGGCAGGAGTAATCGCAGTTCGAAGGGCAGTCCCAAAGCAGGAGCCGGAGATGTATCGCTGCTCAAGCTTGATTCATTAGCTTCTGATAACTCGACAGACTGACAAGCAACCCGGACGATATCTTACGGAGAGATTTCTGTCCCGTCTCGCAGTGCTCTTTCTTGCAGCTCTATCTCGTTCAAAACAACAGGTAAGTCATAGCGTTTCTCGTCTCAAGCCTTGAAGCTGGCAGGGATACCTCGAGGCAGTCCTTAAATTCCGGCAGCCTGTCACCGAGCGACGCCAGAGAGACATCGGCCAAGAATATCCAGACGCAGAGAGCCAGAATCCATCGAGAAAAGGGTATCCTGATGGGTTTCATCGTTAATAATGCTGGGGATAGGGAGGCTCCCGCACTCGAATTGATAACTAGTTAGAAGTTGATCCTCCTTGGCAGCGAACTGACTTAGTTTAACTAACTCGTACGGAGTAGGCTAACTAACTAAAGAAAACCCCTTTTTGAGAGCCGCAGGGACCTCACTAGCCAGACAACTCGGAACCTATTAACATAAGAAACGTTGAGCTGGTTAACTAGCTTGTTGAATATTCATGCTTTTAGGTTAACTACTCTTTCACGAAATGCAATATTTGTGCCAAACACGAAGGAATACAGCTAAGGAGCCACGGAATATTCACTTTATCTTGTTTTGTTTGCTTAACTAGCTAGTTATTTACCCAGGCCCAGTGTTGCTGTCTATTTCTGTTGAATGATAGTTAATGGTTAATGACAAGTTTATCGAATATAAGCCCTAAAGAGTAGCTTATCACCTACCCCGTACGCCTTCAGTGCCCTTTGTAGATGCTAATAAGACCAGGAGTTGTAACATAGCCTATCCATTCAAAATCATAATTCCGTCAATTTAAGCCATAGCTAGCATCCACGATGTCAGCCATATCAAGGGTTCGAAATAAATACCATCATATCCCCAGCCCCCGTCGTGTACGGGGATCCTTAGAATTATGGAGACGAAACCTTGTGGCGTAGTCCTCGGGACCTTGTCTCCAAGACATGCGGCTCTCTTTAGTCAAGACGAATTCCTTCCAGAGTCCCAATCGAGACACAGGTCGAGAAAAGGCTAGCATGGAGTCATTCTCTAATAATGAATCCTCCCCAACACGCTTTACCATAGTTTCCCACCATGTTGTGTCAGTATTGCCCTCCAGGTCAAGATGTTCTACTCCCCATTCCTCAGAGAGGTCCATGCCATCAACTAAGGCCGCTAAGTCTATCCTGTTTGTTGTATCTATCAGGCTCTGGGCGTAAACATGAAGCTTTGGGTAAGGTAGACGGCCTAATAAATCTTAGTATGCGATACGTTTATGACGAGCGTGTAGCCTAACCTTGACTCCATTCGATGTTCTCAGGCTCACATATAAAGTGGCAGTAACTTGCGGGCAATAGTAGCCAAAAGTCTGTCCGGCCAACAGCTTTGAATCGAGGATATCTGTGGTCAAGGGAGCCCGGACGGCGGAGAGGGAACGGTGCACATGGCTCTAGTATATCATGGTTGGACGTGAAGATATCAACAGCCTTCTCAAGCTGGGCATCTGGGACGCATAGCACTCGGTCCTATATGTAGTAGAACCAAATTAGTGCCCGGAGCCCGCGCCTGTAGTTTCTACAAATATAGAATTGTACAGTACACGCGCGTTCGGGCGGGCCCCATAGTAAATAAGAGCATAATCGTGAACAATGCAACAGCATATGTCTGAATCCAGTAGCATGGCGACAACTGCCGTAACTTGTTCATGAGACGGATCTACATCGTCAGGATTGCCGATGGCAAGGATATGAGATGTCGACGACATAGAGACAGCCTGGGGAATAGCAAGCGCGTTTTCCATGTCTTGACAGGGTGCGTTGCTACAGCCTCGAGGTCGCCCTTGCGAAGGAAGTATCATCCTCCAGTGCTTATCGATAAGGATATTAGTCATCATGGTTATGCTTAAGGTGTACCACGTGACAAAAGCTTCTATGAAGTGCAAACAGTGCAAACTTTGAAAATCTCCCGTCCC